CTGAGGTATGGCCAAATTACAAAAACACCCCTCTTGTTTGGATAATTACAACCACCCCCTCAACTCATCAAATATAGTGGAATCTTTGAGATTATATGGAATATTATCACTTGTGTTCCCGGTTTATCCCATTCAAACTCTACATTATGAAGCAAGATGACCATAATATGTGATTTTTAGCTTGTATATATCATTTAGTGGTGCATCGGAAACTGTATTTTTTACACAAAGAATCCAAACTAGAGCCCATTTCACGGAATCTAGATGACTATGTTTATGTTGAATTTGGCACCATAAAGGTAAGAAAAAATCATAGTTGAGGGGGGTAGATGTAATTATCCAAACAAGAGGGGGGTTTTTGTAATTTGACCATACCTCAGGGGGGTGTTTGTAATTTACCCTTTTTTAAAAGTATCCAAAAAAAGCTAAAAAAATTATATAATTGCAGGGAGGTGGATGTAATTATGAATAAAGGATGGGTTTGTTCGTAAATAGATCTTACCTCAGGGATGTGATTGTAACTTACCCAATTAAACAAAGGGGCTTGCTATTATCAGTGCGGTTTTTTCCAGCTACAGTGCAAAATAATTCATTTGTCAAAAAACACTTTAACCTTTTACAAAATCCTCTCAACCTCCAAATATTTCGACTTTCGTAGATCGTGATTTGTTTTCGTAGAAATGAGTTAAAACCCAACGATTATCAAGATGGCCAACATCGATCCCGTAAATGAGGTAAAAAAATACGTTTTAGTGTGATTTTTTTCGATTTTCAGTCGTTTCGTGTAGAATATCACGAAATTATTCAAGTCATTTCGTGGTGTTTTGCACGAAATGAACACTTTATTCGTGTTTTCCAGTCATTTCGTGTACAATACTACGAAATGATACCTATTATTTCGTGTAAAGTCACACGAAATATCAGTAAAACTGTTTTGTTATTTATTTCGTGCAGTACTATACGGAGTGCTAACTCCGGCATCAGCCCGGCTTTCCTTTCCCTGCAGATCCTCCGTCATAGCAGGAAGGACAGCTCATCAACTACGGTGTTCTGGAACGGATCAGCAAGTATCTAACCTTTTTTTTGTATTTACGCAGCCATATGACGACAATTTGTATTTTGATCCCTCGGTTTTGGATAAAAAGGAATATGAAGATTTCTCTCACTTCTTCCAAGTTGATATTGTGTTCGGCAGTAGGGAAGAATTAATCAACTGGGCGAAAGAAACTGCAGTTAGTCATTGTCACCGTTTGATTTGTCAGTCTAGAAGGGAGAATGCACAGTACATGACGTGTGACAAATACGGACATGGCCGACAAACGAATATCGATGTGGAAGATCCTAGAAACTCAGGAACAAAAAAATGTGGTTGTCCGTTCAAATTGATTGGCAAAAGGTCAAGGTTTGATGAATTATGGCGGTTGACTGTCAGCGATGGCAGGCATAGTCATCGTCCGACTTTGTTTCCTCACGGACAAGGTACGACTAGTCGTATAACTCCACAACAGAAAGCAAGAATTAAAGAATTGCGAAATTCTCACGTGAAGCCAATGCTGATCATGGATAGACTGAGAAAAGATGATCCGACGATACAAACCTCTATGAAGCATGTTTACAATGAGTTGGCCAAGATTAAATCTGAGGAAATGGAGGGCATGACTGTTATTCAGTTTATGATGCATAACTTTCAAAAAGGCGAGTATCGATATTGGCATCGCGTCGATAGTGAAACGAGCAACACGATTACAGATATTATGTTTGCATGTC